TATTGAACCATCCTTGCATCTCAGGGATAAATCCTCCTGAATCATGTTGAATGATCCTTTTAATGTGCTGCTGAATTCTAGTTGCTAGTATTTTGTAGAGAATTTTTGCATCTATGTTTATCAGGATATTGGCCTGTAATTTTCTTTTCTCGTAGTGTTCTTGTCTGTCTTTAGTACCAGGATAATGATGGTCTTTGGAAATATTCCCTCCTCTTCAATTTTCTAGAAGAGTTTGAGAAGGATTGGTGTTAGTTCTTCAAATATTTTCAGTGTACAAATTTACTATTATGTATTTTAATTGGTGGCCATGTTTTACAAATTATTAACAATTCATATCCTCTTTGTCAGACAACAGAAAGATCAGAGTTAATGGAACCAGAGAACCTATAGAGTTTAAATCAAATCAATGGTTTGGAGCAACAGTGAAAGCTCACAAAGGGAGAGTTGTGGTGAGTATGAATTGTGTGTTTGTGGTAGTGCTTGGTCATACTATGTGGACCAAAATGTTTGAAAGCTCATTTGTAGAAAATCCTTTCATATAGGGACATGTTAGACTTTCAAAGATAAGCTTATTGAAATTTTAAAAGAAATTTAGTGCTTAAAGTTAAAGAATCTATTTTAGTGTTCAAAAATATAGGAAATAAAGCCTGTTTTCCAGATGATCAGTTACACATTTTCAATATTTCAAAAATGAAGAAAGGTAGAAAAATAAAAGATAAATCTTGAAGCACTAAATACTCTATTGCTTAAGATTGCCTTAAAGGGCTGCTTAAAATTTAACCACAGAAATAGAACCGTTGCAATAAGGATGTTTAAAAAGTTAATCTACTATGGTATCATGGATCCTTTATAAAGTGAACCTTTCTGTAATAATAAAAATAATAAACCTACTAACTGCATGATTCTCTGAGTTTATTACCACCTTTTTTTTTTTTTTTTTTTTTTTAAAGATGACCGGTAAGGGGATCTTAACCCTTGACTTGGTGTTGTCAGCACCACGCTCTCCCAGTGAGCAAACCGGCCATCCCTATATGGGATCTGAACCCGTGGCCTTGGTGTTATCAGCACCGTACTCTCCCGAGTGAGCCACAGGCCGGACCTTATTATCACCTTTTAAAGTAAAAACACTCACTCCCAAATAGATATCTTTCAGCTTTATATACTATGACTTTATGATTCTATTCTCTTGTTGTTCCAAGCATTGATACATGTCTAAGTTATTGAGAAATAAATGACTATTGAACTGATCTGGAAGTTTTTTTTTTTCAGTTTGGGGAATTTTTTAATCTATTGGCTTCAATTTCTTTACAACAATAAAGAAATAACTTTGGCTTTTAGGATTTGTTTAAAGCTATTTGAATTATGATTTATTAAGAATAAGTATCTAAAGGAAATGCCTTGCTTTATTTAGTCTGTGGTTAACCCCCAAAAAAGATTTTGACATAAAACAGGTAATGTATAAAATATAGAGAACCCTCTCTAGTTAGAAACCCAGCATTTACAATATATTCCCTGTAGAATTATATTTGCATTAATATAGTTTTCGCATTCCAGAATTGGTAAGAACTTTTTAATCCTTTAGTGTATATGACTTATGGGAATTACTATTGAAAAGTTAATTTTATCTCATAACTGTTTGGGGTTAAAAAAAATCTTTTGAGTACTACATTGATTTTTTTTAATGTCTTGATAATTTATCTGAAACATACAATTGTTGAACATTTGTTCAATATTTGTAGAAACCTTCAAAACCATTGAAAATAAAATAATCACCATGTTCATAATAAAAATGGTAAATTTTTGGCATTGTTACATTTACTAAATTATGTAATGGGACATAGGATAATATAAAGTATATTTCAAGTTAATTTTTTTCTTTGAGTGCTGAAATATATCAGAATAAAGAATTAAATTCTATCCTATATGACACAATTGTTAGAACTGCAAAATGCTGCCTACAGAAGTATCATTTTTAATATCAAGGTATCATGGGTATACATGTTTGGTTTGGGTCAAAGCCCAAGCACATACATCAGTGTGTTTCACATCTGTGTGAAACTAAGCAGATATAAAAAGGGTAACTTTTTAGAGCTGACATCAGGCAAACACTGGAAAGAATTGTCTTAGCATTAAATGTCCCTTGTTGAGACAGAAGGTGAAGCCAATTGCATAATATTGAGCTACACAGGATACACAGCTTCTCTGCCCAGACCCCCCTGTGTTCCACCATTTACACCTCATGCTGAATGTATTGACCAGACAACTTGTCGGTTCATTAAGAGGGCCCTACGATAAGGGAACCTAGATGAGTTAGAGAGTTTTGGGGTATTGATCAAGACTTGACATATATAGACAGGCCAAACCCAAAACCTGAAGTTGTAGAGGGTGATTTACTTGAGAATATGTAGTACTAAATGGAGTTACATATTGAACTGGATTACCAAGGACACATTTGGAAGCACAAGAGGACTTTTAAATTGGGATCTGTTTTCACTTTTCTGGAATTGTTTTCAGTGTGATGCTAGCAAATGAGAATATTGGCTGTAGCTCCATATTCTAGGACTCTGTAATTTTGTGTCCTTAGTTAGACATGAGTGCTTGGACAGTTGGGTACAACACACTTACAGAGGATTCAAGCAAGCCAAATAGAAGTCCAAAAAGTGCCTGTGTTTTGTACACACTTATTGCCTCTCTCATTCCTAGCAACTTTAATGTTTTTAATTTACTTAAAGAGGATTTCATATCCATTCTTTCAAATATTGTGCTCTTTTTAGAATTCAAGCTTCTGAAGCATCCAGAGCATTTTACACAAACATCATACTTTTCTGACTGTTGTTTAAATTAATTTTTGCTGGTAAAATTCCTGATATTAGGCAAACCAATTTAGAGGCAGTTTCCTGTTTTTCTTCTGAAGCATCCAGAGCATTTTACACAAACATCATACTTTTCTGACTGTTGTTTAAATTAGTTTTTGCTGGTAAAATTCCTGATATTAGGCAAACCAATTTAGAGGCAGTTTCCTGTTTTCACCATAATATGAGGATACTTCAAAAAGTTCATGGAAAAAATACGAATTTTTCCATGAACATATTGAAGATCCTTCATATGTTCCCAGAAATGGCATCATAAGGTAGAATTTCATAACCTATGTCTTATTTGCTCCAGAGAAATATTCCTAAAATTAGAAGGCATGAATGAGGCAGCAAATAATTTTCTGACGTGACAAATTATATATCATAAAAGCAAAAATATAGCAATTAAGCATGCATTTAATTCAACATACTTCTATTAAGCAAATTTTATATGAAAAGCTCTATGTTAAGTGCTGTAGGCAGTTAAATAAATTCTAAAAGATGCTGCACAGTGTGAGCAAATGCTTGTTCACTATGCACCATTATTTAATTTACCATTCTATGTATTAACTGGAAATAAACATTGAACATTTTATTCCTAACCTTTAGTTTTTTGCCTTCTCAGAATAAAGAAGGCACTTATAGAATGGTCTGGATAACTCACCTCCCTCAAAAAAGGTTTTCTGAGGTCCTTAGAGTTTACTTAAATAAATTTCCGCATAACAAGCAGAGTCAGAATCTTGAATCACTTCAGATCCAGTGATTAGTACCTTGGAAATGCTTGTAGTCATTAACAGTTACTCTTTGAGTGACTAATCATCCAATAAAACTGCTAAAAACAGGCACAAGATGTCTTTTACCTTCAGTTTTGCCATGAATAAAAACCATTAAATGAAAAATAAAGCCAAAAACACTATGACAAGGGAGATGGATAGCATGTCCAGATGAAAGTCATTGTTAAAAATCTGCGAGATGCAACATCAGTGATAAACGAGGGGAAACCACAAAACAGAGATTTACAAACTTGTTTGCATCTTTTAATTTGAAAGTTGGTTTTTGTTTGTTTTTTAAGCAACAATTAGACAAAAAAGGAACGAGTTCTTATTTTAAGTCATCACTGATTCATTCATGTTTGCATGATCCTTTGCTTTTATGTTGGTCCATTTTAAAAAAAGAAAAGAAAATCTGACTTTTTGCTTTTAGAAAGTGCTTTCTTTTGCCAGGTTACTTTTATTTAATTTAAAATTCTATGGGGAGAAAAACTCATTCTCTTATATGTGTTTAATTTTTGCCAATTTTACAGTTTATTAATGTTAAGAATTGGCTTCGAAAGTTAATTAATTCTCACTACCAAGGTACTCATTAGCATGCTGGAGGCCAATTAATTCACCTAATAATTTAACATAGTTTGCCATAAATGTAGATATACTAATCAATAATTCAAATCAAAATATTATATGAGAAACCTACATCAAAAATATATGTTTTATCTCTGATGTTTCATAGGCCTGTGCTCCTTTATATCACTGGAGAACTCTTAAACCAACACGAGAAAAGGATCCAGTTGGCACTTGCTATGTAGCAATTCAGAATTTCAGTGCATATGCTGAATACTCTCCTTGTCGGAACAGTAAGTTATTTTTATTCCTTGAAACTGAGATTTAGCTCAAGAGCTTTTCTGTTCTAGACAGGAGTGCAAGTAAGCTCAAAACACCATTGATATGTTATATCAAACGTTACAAGGAAAGCATTACAAGGAAAAAGAGTCGGGGGTGAAGATTTTTGACAGCCTTAGTGGCTGTCTTGCTTTGACAGTAGGGCCAAGGCGGGGAATTCTACTGATTCTATCCCACATTTTAGAAAATGTCTGCTTTTAGATATTGACAGCAGAATTGATTGGTTCCTTCTTTTAGGACTTAAACTGCCAGTTGCTATTCAAACTTCACACCCTGAGTTCTAAAGAATACTGACTGCCCACTTTACTTGTTTATTGCAGGATGGTATTAGTTAGCATGCTTGGACCTGGGGACACATTTAGCTTGAAATTTCTGTCTGGCCTGTGTTCTCCATGGCTGTTGCTTTCTTTGGTATCTGTGTACTTAAATTATCTGCATGGTACACTTTTCTGCTAAAGGTGTTTAATCTCCTCTTTTCAAAAAGACTCTGTATACTTAGAGTCCAAATCTCATCTGGCAGTTCTAGGAATCTTCCAGCACAGCATTCTTTAAAGTAAGCCTGTGACTGCCATCTCTGAGGCATTGCTATATAATTGCTTCATCTTTGAGGGATACCCAAGGACTTTGAGATAGCATCATTGATTGATTGATTGATTGATCGATTGATTGAGCTACTCTGAGTCCTTCTGTGAACTACAGTTTTCTATGTACCAGGTAGATAATTGGGATTTCTTGAAAAGCAATCAATGGATATTCAATCTTATTCTTGATAATTCACCAGACCACTTTAAGGGGAAAAATGTCATTAGAAAGAACATTACAGTGATTTCAGGATATAGATTTTTTTAAACCTTAATTTCAAATTAGTTTGATCTGTAAAGCTATAAGTAAATTGTTCCAATTCAAATTATTTTTTAAAAAATCCAAGATTAATTTAGACGAGATAATGAGCAAATATAAGAAATAAAACATGAAGATAGAGAATGGATCAGTGATATTAGAGGGTTAACAAAGAGGCCACCGAGATTTAGAGATCTCAAGAACTGAGTGGAACATTTTAACTCTGATGGTTTTTGGTGAGGATTTTACAAGGAGAAGATTATGAATTTCTGTTTTAAAATACTGAAATAAATCAGATGCTTCTTCACATTACAACTGATGTCATCTAAATGAATAGTCTGTGAAATAAGGATATTATTTTAAATAGCTTTAAAATGGGAATTCTTTGTAGGTAATGAGACTATTCAACATGTTTGTTAAACACATTGAGCACTAACTATTCTATGTTTAGAGAATACAGCAAAGAAGAAGAGAACACATCCCCACCCCCGACCTCCCCTTCAAGGGACTGACATTCTAGTGGGGGAGACAGACTGACAACAAACGTGTAAATAAATAAGTTCATAATATAATGTCAGGTAGTGGAAAGTGCTACAAATAAAAACATCAAGGCAAGAGAGGAGGGAATGACTGGGGAGGAGAGTGTGGTGGGGGTTAGACAGATGATAGGAAGGGATTCTCTTAGCAAATGACTCTCGGAGGAGGGCAGGGAGGAGCTTCCCAGGTACAGGCAATAAAAGGCACAGTCTGTGTCTTCACAAGGTGCTGTGCTCCTGGGTTTGGTAAGAGGTCAGTGTTATAATGTTAAAGATAAAACTCAGGTAGAAAGATAAATAAAATCTCCAATTTACTGAGAAAATTAATGGTAGAGCTGAAATTTAATACTGAACTTGTTTCATCAATGCATACACCTATCCATATTATATTTTTCATGATTCACTAAAGATTCCTACCTCGGCAAACTGTTGTAACTAAAAAGATGAACTGATCCTTCACACACCTTTTGCCTTCATGATATATCGTATTCTTCCAACTAATATCAAGGACAATCTTTTATAAAACCTGTCACTGCTTCCTGTTCTGCCTTTTTGCCTGACTGCCTGTGTGATGTGAGAGCTCAGATTAATATACGGCACATGGAATGTAGATGGGGGGCAAAAGTTTCAGTATGGGTTCGAGCCGTTATCTAAAAACATAAATTATATTACGCTTGTAGCTTGAGTTACATGGGCACATCACGATGCCAATGTATTTACTCTTTATTTCCCTACATAAAAGAATAGCTCAACACAGGGAAAATGGAGCTCATGTTGAGTGACAGAACAGCTAAATAAATTGCCAAGAATTCTTTCAACTCTGGTGTGAGTGCACAATTTTCATATCCTCCTGGTCTCTCTCTTCCTCCTAATACTTCTCCCTCCTCAAGTCATCCAAGGAGCAGACTTTCATCATGCTAAGAAGTTCACAGTTCATTAACACAAAGCCAGCTTGTTCATGAGCACATGGTCGATATCACAGAACAGAAACATCAGCGATATTATTTTCAAAAGAGAATTTAAAGTACCTCCAGTTAATTCTATAACACCAATGCCCTCCGCTGCTTCCATAAACTATGTGGGAGATAACCTGCTCATTCGTATTAATGACATGTCTACAGCTCTCACGGTCAGTACCTCCAGTTAATTCTATAACACCAATGCCCTCCGCTGCTTCCATAAACTATGTGGGAGCTAACCTGCTCATTCATATTAATGACATGTCTACAGCTCTCACGGTCATTCATAATTCAGGTGCGAATGGTTCACATACACTCTTCCATTTTCCTTCAGAAGCCAACAAATAGTAGTGAAGGATCAGCAGAGTTCACGCTGGGACACAGTTCTAAAGTTTCACAGATGCTCTGAAGTTCTGGGAAAAAGATTTCTTCAGCTCTCATAAATTGTAATTCAACAAGAAAAAAATGACTTTGTAAAGGAAGGAAACTCACACTCTATTATAATTACCCTTACACATTTCAAGTGGGTTATTTTCTTGATGAATTTTGTGAAAAGTTAGTATCTTCTCTTTATTTTTTTCAGTTTTCTGTTTTAAAGCAAAATAATTTCAAAGAATGGTCATGTTTCTTCATTTTTGAATATTAAAAAAAATAGAGTTGATTTCTAAGAGGATTTTTGAAAAAGTTTATGCATTTACAATACATTTCTTAAGTGTACTAAAGGGAACACATATATGTTCATGTAGTAATATATTATGTATTTATATATGTTTCTGGATACATATAAACATTTACACACATGACCTTCTAGAAAACTGGTATCCAGCAATTTAAGCTTATACAGATGAGCTTTTAGGAAACTTTATAGGATTCCTATATATATATATATATATAGCTATAAACTCCATATATAACTATATATATAGTTATATATATATATATATAACTATATATTCCTATATATATATATATATATATAGCTATAAACTCCATATATAACTATATATATAGTTATATATGGAGTTTATAGCTATATATATATATATATATATAGCTATAAACTCCATATATAACTATAAATCAGAAAATACAGTTGTAAAATAAGAAGCAAATTTTGTTAAAATACAGTGTATGAGGTAGAAAAGTATTTTTAAAAATGAGAGGATCATCTGGAAAGAATCAATGATTACAATGCTTAAATTAGCTAAGTACTGACCAAAGGAAAGAAAAATACAAGACATTCTAGGAAAATCTGGAAAGGCCAGATTTATTTCAAAAACTTTCTGGAACAGGCACATGCCCAGCCTATAAATTCTCCCTGTGATGATGTGCATTTCCTTTTCTGTCCTCTTATTTTGATTTCCATTCAGGCACATGCTTGATAAGAAAGGAGTGATTATTTACATGTTTATATCTAACCATATAATGACTCATATTCTCTCCACCTAACTACATTTTGGCTATACTTTAAGCACTTTAGAAGTTGTAGAAACTCTTTTAAAGTACATGTTACAAAGTAGTAAATTCCTGGGCCGGCCTGTGGCGCACTTGGGAGAGTGGGGTGCTTGGGAGCGCAGCGGCGCTCCCGCAGCAGGTTCGGATCCTATATAGGGATGGCTGGTGCACTCACTGGCTGAGCATGGTGCAGACGACACCAAGCCAAGTGTTGCGATCCCCTTACTGGTCACACACACACACACACACACACACACACACACACACACAAAAGACAAAGTAGGAGATTCCTGATCCTAATGCCCTAGAGACTTTAATAACTATATCCTTGAACTCCACATGTTGGCCTGCCTATCGCTTACAAAACTATACAATGAGAGTGTATTGAACATTCAGTTCATGAATTGGATAGAATACAAGATAAATCATTACTAGAGAGTTTTCTCTTTTGTTAGCATTAGCATTGCAATGTCCCTGAGAGATTAATTGTGACCAGAAATGCAATTTCTCAATTTACCTAACTTATCATAATTGGAAAATTTAAAATTAACTTCCTATTAAAATGCATGAGAGTGGAAATGCTCATCTGTGTCACCAGCAGAAAGCATCCACAGGGGATCTTGTTTACCTCTCTCTTTCTCAAGGCGTCATCAGTTAGGAATGACAAACACATGTGCCTTCGCTCAGAATGAGTGGGCAAATAAAAGACACATGACTGCCACGGGGGGAATTTGCAAAGATGGAGGTTTTCTTTCTTCAAATGGACATGAGTTGTAAAAATCCAATATAATTACCCAAAGTAATGTTACTCCTACTATCACTGCAGAATCACAAGATATTGGGAATAAGAAAATAGATGGAAATATGTTTAATAAATTACTTGGAATTAATTTTTTAAATAAATATAAAACACATATAGATCATTTTAAGTTTAGAAGTCTACAGAAAAAAAAAGAATATCCTAAATTAGTTATTAAAGTATATCTTAGAAATGATGATGTTATAACATTTATATATTTTTATCATTCTAGGCAATGCTGATCCTGAAGGTCAGGGTTACTGCCAAGCAGGTTTTAGTCTGGACTTTTATAAGGTAAATTCTTTTGGTCTTACAGCTTCTAATATTTAATGTTTTGTTTTTTTTTACCGTCTGCCTCTCACTCCCACCACACCTCCCCCTCCACAGCCCAAACAACAGCCAAAGAACCTTTAGGTACATATCTAGCCTGTACTGGTAACTACTTCTTTAATTTTTTTTCTGTTTGCTGTTTATGTTTATTAAAGTAATCTACGCACATGACAGCGTATTGTAGTACAGAAATACTTACAATGAAAAACAATGGTATTCTTCCCACCCTTTGTGGCAATCGTTTTTAAGTGAAAATCTCAAAAACCCAGTAAAAAAACCCAATGTGTTTCTAAAAGGGTCACAAAAATCTATAAATTGCTTTATCTCAGCTTTATCTCAGTAATCGACCAATTAGATTTAATATTCAAGTTAAAATTAATATATCCTTTCACAAAATTAAAAACAGAGATGTCTAGGTAGAATATAGGGGGCAAAGATTCTATGATTTTGAAAATAGTATAGACAAATTCCATCAACATATGAACTGTTTTATTGCTTATCATTGTGTTTTTTATCATTGCTTTTTTGTTTTATTTTGTGTTTTACCACTGAGAGTTAGAGGTGTAGGGCGTGGAAGGTGGGGCTCTAAGTAGATGAGAAAATGTTAATATTTGCTAGCATGGAGTATTTGCTTTTCCTCCTGAGCAGGAGGTGGGTTTGAAAATGTATGAAAAAAAAAATAGTTATTACTAGGGCCTTGAAATAAATTGGAATGGAATTTTCTTTCCATCACCCAGGCTCACAAGACCACATCTGCTAAACTGCACGGCATTAGACATGTTGATATTTTGCTTACCAGTGCCAAAAACTGAATTTATGTATTCTCATGGGAGAAAATTCAATGTACCTAATGAGTCAAATTAAAATTATTTAATATGATAACACACTCAATAATTGAAAGCAAAAAGAGAAAGAAAATGACCTGCAGGCCTCAGATATAAGTGCCTCTTTTAAAAATTGCTTTTTTATGTATAACAAATTGTTAGAGCAATGCTTATTACCCATGATTTATCACCCTTTAAAAAATGCCAGTGTTTCTTTTCCAATTGCTGCTGCTGTTGCTCTTTTCTGTTTTGTAGAATGGAGACCTTATAGTAGGCGGACCTGGAAGTTTTTACTGGCAAGGTATGTTCTGTTAGCAGAAGAGGAAAGCACATTGGTTGTTACTAACAAAGAGATGAAGCAGAAGTGACACCAACTGTTGACTTTTTATTACATTAATTTAATATCTGTATTCACAGTTTCCCGAATGAAACATTACTTCGACTTGTACTTTATTATATTAGCGATATTTTAAAATACTCTCCCAACTTAACAATTCACTGCTTCACTAAGAATTTATGGAGGCTCTGGCAGGCTTTGTGCTAGATGCCGGGGGTACATCAGTGAGTGAAAACAGACTGGGAGGTTAATATCTAGGAAAAGGACAGGCATTAATCGAATATCCACACAAGTGCCTGAGACATTCCAAGCATGAGTCACACTATGAAGGAAAGGTTTGTCATGATGGGGCCATACGAGGCTTCTAAGGTTTGTTTTGTACTCTGACCATTGGCTCACATGGAGCTGGAAAACAACCTGTGCTCTGCATATGGAGCCATGAGCTCAGGTGCAGGACAGCATCTGCCCAGAGGACATGCCCTCTTCTAATTTTTATTAAGGGGCTGCAGAGGCCAGCAGCAGCCCTAAGGCCAACTAATTTGGGAGCAAGCAACCCTAAACTGAGATCTCGACCTTGAGCAGGAGTTACCTAGGTGAAGAGAGAAGGGACTATGTGCAAACGTTCTGTGGCATAAAGGAGTGCAGAGTGGGTGAGAACGGAGGGAAGAGTAAAGAGAGACAGGGAAGAGCTGCTGGAGGGGGATGCAGTGGCCCCACGCACCACGAGGGCTTGCAGTTTTGTCCTCATCCCACAAACACTGGGAAACCACTGGTGGATCTTAAGAGTTTAAATGGATGGCTTTAGCTAGAGTGAGAAGGTATTGTTTGTCCTGAGAATAATGGGACACTAACTATTAGAGAATTTTAAGGATGGGATGCTATGATCACATTTGTGTTTTCAAAAGATCACTCCAGCTGCAATATAGAAAGTGGATTGGAAGGTGGCCAAAGTGAAATATCAGGAAATTAGTTATAAGGTTATAAACTAATTATAAGTTTATAGGGTCAACTAGCTATAAGTTAAAGATAAAGACATTTGCTTCTTAGAATGGTGATGGTACAGAATGAAAAAGAGGAGAAATTTGAGAGACACTTTGGAGGCAAAATAAACAGCCTCAACAATGGATTGGATATATGGAGGTGAGAGAAGGATGTCAAGGATGTGCTTCTGACTTTAGCAACTGAATTGTCATAGCTAGTCACGGACATGGAGAACAAGGGAAGAGAACAGCTTTGGAGTGGGTTCGATATATGGAGGTGAGAGAAGGATGTCAAGGATGTGCTTCTGACTTTAGCAACTGAATTGTCGTAGCTAGTCACGGACATGGAGAACAAGGGAAGAGAACAGCTTTGGAGTGGGTTGGAAAGGGAAGAGGATGAGTTCGCTTTTGGTTATGATGAGTATGAAAATGTTGAAGATATCCAGGAGCTTTCCCATAAGTACTTAGATATGTGGGCTTAAGCTCAGAGAAGATAGCTGGGGTGGAATGTAAATTCACATCACTTACGTATTGGCAATAACTGAAGCCACAGGTATGGATGGGATGCTTAAAGAGAGAAGGCAGAGAATATAGACTGCATTTTGGCTGTAAAGTTTAGAATCAAGAGAGCGTAGAATCTGAGACAGATGAAGAGTTGACGGAGGATTTTTTGTTTTGTTTTGTTGTCATGGAAGAGAACTGATCATGTTCAATAGCCAATGGGAAAGATGCAGGAGAGATAGATTTATGATAAAATTTTACATAAAATCTCCATCAACTCTGTACCCCATAAATATGTATAATCAGTTATGTTTCAATTCAAAAGAAAAAAAAGAAAAACATCATTACAAAAAAATTTTTTTAAATCACCATTAAGCTTAATTCATGTAATACAATTATGAACATCAAATAGTTAACATTTTGGACTTTAAATTTATCTTGAAAACTGAAAAACAAAATATTTTACACAACAGATGAATATAAAATAAAAATTATGTTTGTTTAAAAAGATTTTCTTCTAATTCGCTTGGTTAATTTCATGTAATTCATTCCCTTCCTTAAGTTGAAAACAAATGTCTGATACAAATGATTTGCTGAAAATTAGCCATGGCCAGGCATATAGAAGCATTTGTCTAAGATATATAATTTAAAATTTTATTCAGGCTTAAGATTATAGTGTTTACTGACACAGCTAAAGGAAAGCAGAGGCAATGTGTATATGGCATGGAGGGAAAGGGGTGTTTAGCTTTAACGAAGAGAAAATTGGCAAATTCTATAGACACTGTTCATAAATTCATGTGTAAATACCATTGTCTTAATATCAGAACAGTCATTTTAGTCCCAGTCACTTGGAAATATTTATGACCTGGTTTGACAGTTTTATTCCTTTTTGGACTTCAAAGAAAAAGACTATGGGGATTATATGTGAATTCCCAATGAGTAATTTGGCTTTAAAAGCAATGTTAAATGTTAGTCTTTTGGAAACATTTTTCCAGTTTTCTCCCAAAAAGCATGAGATCACACTTTTGCCTTAGATGTCCATACTAAATGTGGGAGTGCATAGATATCGTAGTTGAAAATTGCTGGCTGTCGTTGAGATACTTGAAGAGAAAATTGGCAAATTCTATAGACACTGTTCATAAATTCATGTGTAAATACCATTGTCATTTTAGTCTACTCCAATACAATCATATTTCAAGACTTCTGAGAGTGACTTTATTGGGGAGAGATTAGCCAAAGTTTTTATCATGTCATTGATGGTGGCCATAGATTCTTTTTTTGCTAAAATTCTGGATCTCCTGGGACCTGGCTGCTTCCTACTGTCATAATTTTATCATAAAAAGTAAATGGCTTGAAGATTATGTAATTCCTTTCTTTAACTTAGCTGATATGTTTTACAATGTATTAATTGAATAAGTGATCCAGATTTAATACAACATTTGTACTTTGCAAGAACACAAAAAGTCTTCTTAGAAGCCAAAAGAGACCTTGGTCATAATGCCAAATATCCTACTAGCAAAACCGTGTGACCTTAGAGAATGCACATAAGGTCTTTGGGCCTCAGTTCTTTCCACCTATGAGAAGTTACATTTGGCTAGATGATCTTGAAGTTTGCTTCTCACTAGAACATCTTAGAAAAAAACTTAATCACACAAATTTTGCCTGCAAGTGTCTCCACTTCGATACTTTTATCATTGGGAGGTGGTGGGAATATTTACATGGAAAGCACAAGAAGACAGATAAAATATTGTAGTTCATCTCCGGTTGTCAATCAGAATGGAAAACTCTATCCAGCTGTTATCAATTCTGCCTCACAGTTCTAGTGGCAGGCAGGAAAATTCATCATGAAAAATGCAAGCAATTCCGTGATAGCTTTCCAGAGAGTGTATGTCATTCTGTGTCTGTTTAGGAGGTCCTGTCTCTTGCATTCATTCGGTTAATGTGTTAATTTGTTTAAATACAGGTCAAGTGATCACTGCCAGTATTGCAGATATCATTGCAAATTACTCATTCAAGGATATTCTAAGGAAACTGGCTGGAGAAAAGCAGACAGAAGTGGCTCCAGCTTCCTACGACGATAGTTACCTGGGTGAGATCCATTGCTTGAGATATTTGTGGTTTCTCAAAAGACAAGCATGTTAAATATAGATGCAGATTTTATTCCTCACTTATCTGATGTTATTTGGCATCTTATGAAAATTTTCTTATTAGTTAAAGTGAACTCAACTTTTCTTTCTAAACATTATTATTTTTTTCAGCCATAATGTATAACCTGCATAATTTTAGTAGCTATTTTGTAGGTTCCATGACAGTATCTTACATGTAAAATATTTCGCCAGTAGTTGATGCTATGTGTTAGAGGGGCTGCTACCAGTGCTAGAGGGGCAATGTGACAGCAGCCCTCTCCAGTGTCTACAGCAGCAGCAAGAGACTTTCTAATTGCTAGAATATTCTCAACATTTATTATGTGCAAGCCACACAATGTCATTTCACCACTACTATTTCCTACCTTTGATATCCATATCCTAGTGGCATTGTGATTGCTCGATGAATTTGAAAAAAAATGTGGTTATGTTTGGTCAGTATAGTTCTATCTCACTTTAGAGCTACGTGAAATTTGTGGAAAACCATTATTAAAGGAATTAAGAAGGCGGCCTTATTGGTGATCAGAAATAGCAAAACCTAAGCACAAAAAAACAACTTTCACGGTATCTGTCTGCTCACGATGAATTGGCAGCTGAGAAAATGCAACAGCCACCATTTACACCGAAATGTAGATTATGAAGCATTTATGCTTTTAACATTGACCTCAGAATCTTTGACTGACTGACTGGTTTTGCCATGCTCCTACTTAAAATCGGTAGTGTTATGCTTCCAGGATGTAGTATAAAAGTGTTCATATTGATGTGATTAAATTTCCCTTTACAGGATCCTTAACTTTTATTTTATAATGTGTGTAGAGACTTCATAATAAAGCAGTACTATGGC